TCTCTCTCTCTCTCTCTCTCTCTCTCTCTCTCTCTCTCTCTCTCTCTCTCTCTCTCTCTCTCTCTCTCTCTCTGTAGCTAAGACAAGTTGTTGACTTCAAGGTGTGCCAATTATGGAGCTAGAGGATACTAACATTGTGTGTTTCATTACAGATTGTGATGGTGGCGAGTGTAATGACGATGGTAATGGTGGTGGTGGTGGTGGATGGCAGCAGCAGTAAGTACCTATACATGCCTCCGCTCTAATCTTTTTTTTTTTTTTTTTGAGATATATACAAGAGTTGTTACATTTTTGTACAGCCACTAGTACGCGTAGCGTTTCGGGCAAGTCCTTAATCCTACGGTCCCTGGAATACGATCCCCTGCCGCGAAGAATCGTTTTTTCATCCAAGTACACATTTTACTGTTGCGTTAAACAGAGGCTACAGTTATGGAATTGCGCCCAATAAATCCTCCCCGGCCAGGATACGAACCCATGACATAGCGCTCGCGGAACGCCAGGCGAGTGTCTTACCACTACACCACGGAGACTGCTAATCGTGTTTATATCTGTGTTTCTCCCTCATCCTTTCTGTGTTCCAAGTGCACTTTCGAAATGCTTTACTCTCGTGATGTGAATCATATGCAAAAAAATTAACACACACTGTGTCTGGAGGCGTGAGAGAGACACGTGTGTCAGTAGGGCGTCCGCGAATAGCATCAGTTGTCTAGAGACATTGAAGTGTTATGGAGACAAGAAACATTATTTGTTGTCACAGGACTATACACAAACGCAGTGATCAAGTATAAGTGAGCTCCTACAGTGGTAGATCAATTAAGAAAAAAAAATAAGGTTGAGTGACAAGATCAGTGCCATTCGTGGGGACAGTTTTAGCCAGTTTTGGGTGGAGCCGAGCGGACAGCACGCTGGACTTGTGATCCTGTGGTCCTGGGTTCGATCCCAGGCGCCGGCGAAAAACAATGGGCAGAGTTTCTTTCACCCTATGCCCCTGTTACCTAGCAGTAAAATAGGTACCTGGGTGTTAGTCAGCTGTCACGGGCTGCTTCCAGGGGGTGGAGGCCTGGTCGAGGACCGGGCCGCGGGGACACTAAAAGCCCCGAAATCATCTCAAGATAACCTGTCCTTGAGGAATAGAGGTGACTTGGGACAGGTCCAAAGGGACCAGAGGGCAGCCATTCAACATCTGTGGCCGGTAATTACAGGAATAAGGTAATGTGTGTCTGAGTTTTGGTACATTATTGTTGCACTCCGTTTTATTGCCTCATAGAGATGTATTTAGAGTAGGATATATTTTCATGCCAATATATTTAATAAACGTGTCTCTTGTTAAATAAAGTGAATATTGATTTAGTGATATTTAGTTAATCCCCCTTTGATTTTATTATGTCTGCTGATTTTATTGGATGAACCATAGATGTGTGGCTCCTCTTGCATGATAGAGTATGATGATAGATGGAATTACTGGTGTCGATTTCACTTTGTCTCAGATCTACAAGATCTTGTTGAAGTTCTCGGTGTACTGCTGCTCTCAGATTACTCATTGACAATCCAAGATTACACTCAACTGCTCCTTTAAAGGCAGATTCTTTGGCTAACTCATCAGCTCTATCATGCATTCGGAGGCCCTACTTTTTTTGTCAAATTTCTTATACAATGTTCTATTTGTACTTTCTTATAGTGTATTTTTATACTTTTTTGCAATTTACGTGTAAACATTTTTTTAATTTTGATAGAAATTACCTTCTTAAAATTATATATGTTAGATTAAGGATTTGCCCTAAACACTATGCCTGCTAAAGGCTTTATAAGAATGTCAAACTTCAAGTCTCTGTACTCTCATAAACTCAATATGTACCTTCTTGTATATAAATAGATAAATAAATAAATTTTTCCGATATGTAAGAGTTTAGTTCATTTACTATGCAACCCATACCCATCTTGTGGGCGGTACTGGAAAGAGTTACAGAGGCACATAATGGGTAAGATATTTTGAGAACTGTAGGTCGGTTTGAGCAAAATCTCACCAATCGCCGTTTGCACTAATTTGCATATTTTCGGTATAAAAAGCCGTAATTTAAAACTCCAAATATGTGCAATGAGCCAGAATTCATTGACCTCCAAGCAAGCGCCTGAGGCATGTTGACTGATATCGGCTATTGACACATAACAGCACATTCAGTTTTGAGTATAATTGATCATGATCATTTGATGCTGTAAATATAATTGGTCGCAACATTGACGTGATGTCCCGTTTTCTGTTCCTGGGTTCTCGGTTAGGTTACTTTTGTTTCAGTTTCAGTTTAGTGACGCTGTGACTGCTCAAGAGGACGGGCTCGGTAGTTAGTTAGACAAGGAGGGGAGGGTCAGGGTCAAAGGGGGGGGGGTAAGGGGGGAGAGAAGGATCGAAACATCGCTCAAAATCACACTCTTGCCAACAAAATTCCAAGGGGCCATTCAAATTTTGTTTTCCTCCTGGCTGGGTAATCTGTCACAACTGAGTGGTAATTGTTCAAGTGGTCGAGGATTGATGATCGGTTTGACGTGTTGTGGCTGGTACACGCACGCGCGTGTACACACACACACACACACACACACACACACACACACACACACACACACACACACACACACACACACACACACACACACACACACACCGTTGCAACTTAACTACTCTGACTTTCACATAGTGGCGGATGGACGTGTTTTATGCTACTGTGGCTTTTTTTATCACCTATAGACATTTATCATAGCATTTGTTGTATTTTTCCTAGGCCTTATAATGTCTGGCTGGCTGGCTCAATGTCTATTTGCCTGGCTGTTGGCTTTCTGGGTTGCAAGCTCCACTCTTTTTGTATAATTTCCATTCCACTTGCATCCATTTATCTCCCACTTCCATCTCTGTAAATGTCCAAGAACCACAGCGACTGATTATCAAAGGCAGCTAAAGTATATACAAAAGTTTGTTGCGAAAATTGCATCGTTTAATTATATATTAGGCTCCAATCGGTCCAAAATATATCTGAGTTTGAATAAATATTTCCCAGGTATTGATTAGTTCCAGTCTTGCCTTCGCCGGATCAGATATTTATATTTGTTTACCTCGTTTATTTGTTATGTTCTATTGAATGAGTCCGTTTATATATTTGTATTTACTAAATTATTTTGTTTAGCAATGATCACTCTCCTTATTGTGTATGTTATTAATTAGGGATATGTACAGTGAGGATCTAGAACGAGATACAGAGGATCTAGAACGAGATACATATTATTGAATTTCTAGATTTAGAGAGAGAGAGAGAGAGAGAGAGAGAGAGAGAGAGAGAGAGAGAGAGAGAGAGAGAGAGAGAGAGAGAGAGAGAGAGAGAGAAAGTCTCATTATTCACCAGACTGATGGGCAAAGTGGACAGACGGGCAAGAAGGCTCATCTCTAGTCTTGACCAAGTCTGGTGGGAACGGTCTAAACATCAGAGCCTGCAACACCGTCGTGACGTTGTTGGTCTTACTGTTATGTACAAGGTCAACATCCTCAAAGTTCAGCACCTGGCCCAACTCCGTGGACTACCAATAGTTGCCACCCGTAGCACTAGGCTGTCAACCTTCAACAGTCTCATGCTGGAAGTCCCTTTCTCAAGAACATCACTCCATCAGCGTTCATTCACTCCTAGGCTGATTCGCATCTGAAACTCGTTCGCTCAACAATTTGATAAACGGAAGATCAAGTCAACTGTTCACATGAAGACTGGCACACAGTTGGCTACAGGCTCATCCTGTTCCTTATATATATATATATATATATATATATATATATATATATATATATATATATATATATATATATATGATTGTTACCTAATGTTGTTAATGAATAAAGGTCATTCCAACTGATGCATATAATAGGCTTCTAAAATAAATGGGCAACTAGGAGTAAGTTTCAACTGAGCTGAGGTAGGATTACAGTTCTTGCTTGCAGTTTCACTAGGTACGTCATTTGACAACCCTTATGAACCCTAGTCTTAGTTTAAAAGAGAGAGATAGAGAGTGTTTGTGTGAGTCTAGGCCTTAATATGATCCAAGGTACGAACACAATGTTAGCCTATGAAATGTTGGCAGAAATTCTCATCCTTAATCACAGAGAGATGTTACTTTGAAAAGAAAGAGAAAAGCTCCATGTGCAATATGCTTCCTACCCCTTTCCCTACGCTTCTTCCGTCCTTCCCACCCTCCCTCCCTTCCACCCTCCATCACTCCCTCACTCCCACACTCGCGCGCCAACCCTCAAGGAGGGATCATCCACTTTCCGTCACAGCCTCACCAGCAGGTATAAGCTTTAATGTGTTGATGAACTGTGCCCTGTGAAACACCAAGTGTATTTGTGTGTAAGTATGGCACTTTCTAGTCAAAATTATCGCCTCTGTTTTTCGGCCGCAAATTTATCCTGTCAGCGTGTATAGTGTGCAAATTTGCGGATTGATGGATGTATAGAGGCGCCTTAGTGGCCGGTTGAATGTATTGAGGTAAATCCTTCAATAGTAACTGGTGATAGAGACGGTCTTAGGACTCGCTGTTAGCTTCTTTAGTCGCATCCTGCCCAACTGGTGTAAGGGAGGGGGTATATAAAGACATTTTTTCTTAAATGGCAAATACTTGCCTTAGCGTATTCACGAATTAACAAGATTCGTGTTAGTTGGATGGAAACGTAAGGTCAAATGCCGATGGACACATTTGAAAGTGCCGCCAAAGCGGTTGCTAGAGAGCGCATGCGTGTAGGCTCTCTTGACAATGTGCGAGGTTCCTGCAACAATTTAGGAACAACTAAGTGCCAGAGAGTATAATATTAACATTTCCATGTACATTCGCTGGCTTAAAGTTATGACTGGAGATCAGTGTTAAATGTTTAAATACAGTGCAGGACCTAATAAACCAATATATGGATGCAGGAGAGAATATTATAAATCCGAGTAATATTGGAACAGTTTGCGGGAAAAAAAATTAGTTGGCGGGAAGACGCCTCCACCGCCGCCAGTGTTTGCGTCTGAGCGGGAGGTGGAGGGCACTAAGTTTGATGTCGTCGGTGGACACCTGGCAAGGCTCTCAGACCACATGGAGGACTGCGGGTCTGCGTCCAACGTACACATAGGTATCCTGTGTTTAGCGTGAAATGGTGCAATTTGTTAAATAGCAGAGGAGGTAGCCGGTGGTAGGAGATAAGGTAGATTTTGCACAATTTGGTAGACCGCCATGTTTGATGTTTGCAGCCTAGGGTACAACCATGGCTGAGAATTGTGTGGACAGCTGATGATTGCTAAAACTTGGGCTCTCATGACAGTTATATATATATATATATATATATATATATATATATATATATATATATATATATATATATTTACCGAGGTCTATGTTGCCCACTGTGGGGCCTGCTGAGAGATGTAACATTGCTCCACAGGTTGGAGATATATGTGAAGCCTCGGCGCGTGGTAACTTTATCACATTATTTGTATATGATTTTAATATGCTTATAACTGGTATCATTGTCTTTTGCGCCATTATGAGGCCTTATCTTGTGTTATCGTGAGATGATTTTCGGGGCTTAGCGTCCCCACGACTCTGTCCTCGACAAGGCCTCCTTTTTGTTACACATCCCCCAGGAAGTAGTCCGTAGCAGCTGTCTTACTCCTAGGTACCTATTTACTGCTAAGTGAACAGGTGCATCAGGGTGAACGAAACTGCCCGTTTGAAACTGCCTGATCCCCTCTACCGGGGATCGAATCCAGAGCCTCAGTACTACGAATCCCGAATGCTGTCCCCTCAGCCGTCAGACCCTTCTGTAAGTTTGTTTATGGCTCCACAGGCTGGGGGATACATGTAGGCTCAGTGCAGGTTGTTTAGTTTATTATTACAGGATGTTGATAAGCTACAGTGTTCCAGAGTATGTGCATATACTTTCAATGTTTTGCAATATAAAAAATTTCTGAAGTCACGATTATAAATGTTATTTTTTCAAAAGTGACTTTGACCCTAAGTCTTTCCTTTCTGTTCATCATTAAGTCATTTATCCTTGGAAATGTCAGTTAAAATAAATAATTGAAGTATATTTTGTGTGAAGTTCTTTTAAGTCTGAAATAAAAGAATGAGTAAGAAGATTAAATCTCATTTACCCAGAATAAAATTACGCCAGAGAACAACATTCATATTTTTTATGTAATTTTAATAATAGTAATTTTATTAAAAATGTGTATTATTTATTTTTATGGCCCTCTTCATTGGCGGTTGGGAATTGCCGGGTATGGGCGAACACAAACATTCTGGGATCTGCACTGACATTAGCTAATTCTAGTTCCTACAAAATGTTTGCAAAAAAGTAGGGCAGTCATGTATGCTAGAAGAAAATACTAGTTTTAATTAATGAGTTTCGTAGCAGTCGCCACTTCCTGTGTAGAATATGTAAAGTATGCAGAGAGCAGTTATCGGCATAGGCTACAGCTTCAGGAATGAGGAGCAGCAGATTGTCGAAACAGTAGGCTTTCCAAAAACAGTGGACAAAGCACACTGCACTGTGGTACACTCGTATCAGTTAAGCAGCTTTCAAATTTAGCTCTTTGAATAACTACTCTCTCTAAGACAAGTTGTTGACATCAAGGTGTGTCAGTTATGGAGCTAGAGGATACCAACATTGTGTGTTCCATTACAGATTGTGTGGCTGTGAGGTGGGGTGGTGACTGCTTTGGTGGCAGCTGCGATGGTGGCGAGTGTAATGGCGATGGTAGCGGTAGTGGTAGTGATGGTGGATGGCAGCAGCAGTAAGTACCTATACATGTCTCTGCTCTAATCGTGTTTGTATGTGTTTCTCCCTCATCCTTTCAGTGCGTTAAGCAGTGATGTGGTGGAGGCAGACTCCATACACATTTTCAAATGTAGATTAGATAGATCCCAGTAGGCTCAAGAATCTGTACACCAGTTGAGAGGCGGGACCAAAGAGCCAAAGCTCAACCCCCACAAGCACAACTAGGTGAGTACACACACACACTATATATATATATATATATATATATATATATATATATATATATATATATATATATATATATATATATATATATATGCATACATATACATATGTGAACAAGCCTGAATGGTCCCCAGGACTATATGCGACTGAAAACTCACACCCCAGAAGTGACTCGAACCCATACTCCCAGGAGCAACGCAACTAGTATCTACAGGGACGCCTTAATCCGCTTGACCATCACGACCGGAGATAAGGAAGTGATAGCCGAAGCTATTTGAACCACTTCCCCGCCGGCACTCTGATGGTAATCTTGGGCATAGCATTTTATCAAATCACCTCATTCTTTGGGGTACACATGAGGAACACAAATGTGAACAAGCCTGAATGGTCCCCAGGACTATATGCGACTGAAAACTCACACCCCAGAAGTGACTCGAACCCATACTCCCAGGAGCAACGCAACTGGTATCTACAGGGATGCCTTAATCCGCTTGACCATCACGACCGGACATAAGGAAGTGATAGCCGAAGCTATTTGAACCACTTCCCCGCCGGCACTCTGATGGTAATCTTGGGCATAGCATTTTATCAAATCACCTCATTCTTTGAAGTGGTTCAAATAGCTTCTGCTATAACTTGGCCGAAGCTATATATATATATATATATATATATATATATATATATATATATATATATATAATGTATATATATATATATATAATGTAGACCAGACCACACACTAGAAATTGAAGGGACGACGACGTTTCGGTCCGTCCTGGACCATTCTCAAGTCGATTGTGATGAGGAGGTAGGGACAGGCAATAAAGGTCGGTCGGAGGTCGGAGGTCGGACCGAAACGTCGTCGTCCCTTCAATTTCTAGTGTGTGGTCTGGTCAACATACTTCAGCCACGTTATTGTGACTCATCGCCTGCATATATAATGTATATATATATATGTATATATATATATATATATTATATATATATATATATATATATATATATATATATATATATATATATATATATATATATATATATATGCGAACAAGCCTGAATGATCCCCAGGCATATATGCAACTGAAAACTCCACACCTCAGAAGTGACTCGAACCCATACTGCCAAGAGCATTATGCAACCGGTGTACAGAAGGCCTTGACCACTCGAATAATCAGTGCCCGTACAAAAATAGGTGATAGCCGAGAGGCTATTTGAACCACCTCCCAGACGGCACTTTGATGGTAATCTTGGGCATTGTTATTTTATCAAATCACCTCTATTTTTGTGGGGCCACGTGAGCAACACAAATGCGAACAAGCCTGAAGTCTGAGTTCGAGTCGCTTCTGGGGTGTGGAGTTTTCAGTTGTATATATGCCTGGGAACCATTCAGGATTGTTCGCATTTGTGTTGCTCACGTGAACCCATAAAAAGAAGGTGATTTGATAAAATAATCATGCCCAAGATTACCATCAAAGTGCCGTCGGGAAGGTGGTTCAAATAGCCTCTCGGCTATCACCCCTTTTTTTATGGTCACTGATGGTCGAGTGGTTAAGGCCTCCTGTACACCAGTTGCATAGTGCTCCTGGCAGTATGGGTTCGAGTCACTTCTGGGGTGTGGAGTGTTCAGTTGCATATATGCCTGGGGACCATTCAGGCTTGTTCGCATTTACATATATATTATTTATATATATATATATATATATATATATATATATATATATATTAGTATATTTTGGTAGCAGTCTTTCCTGTAGACATATTTTATTAAATATGACCGAAAAAGTAAGATTAATAATTCTAACACGAATTTTCTCAATCTTTCGTACATTATGCTTCACTGTTGGAGGTAAATCAAAAATCACTTCTCCAAAATTCATTTTTATTTCTAGTCTGACGCGACACGGGCGCGTTTCGTAAAACTTATTACATTTTCAAAGACTTCACAAATACACAACTGATTAGAACTTGCATTTCCCTGATTTTATATCTACTTTTGAGTGAGGTGGGAAGGGTGATGTGGCATTACATTTGAGTGAGGTGGGAAGGATGATGTGGCATTAGAGGATATTAATAGGGTATTAAAAGTATCAACACAAGACAGAACACGAAACAATGGATATTGAATAGAAGTGTTTGTAGAAAGCCTATTGGTCCATATTTCTTGATGCTTCTATATTGGAGCGGAGTCTTGAGGTGGGTAGAATATAGTTGTGCAATAATTGGCTGTTGATTGCTGGTGTTGACTTCTTGATGTGTAGTGCCTCGCAAACGTCAAGCCACCTGCTATCGCTGTATCTATCGATGATTTCTGTGTTGTTTACTAGGATTTCTCTGGCGATGGTTTGGTTATGGGAAGAGATTATATGTTCCTTAATGGAGCCCTGTTGTTTATGCATCGTTAAACGCCTAGAAAGAGATGTTGTTGTCTTGCCTATATACTGGGTTTTTTGGAGCTTACAGTCCCCAAGTGGGCATTTGAAGGCATAGACGACGTTAGTCTCTTTTAAAGCGTTCTGTTTCGTGTCTGGAGAGTTTCTCATGAGTAGGCTGGCCGTTTTTCTGGTTTTATAGTAAATCGTCAGTTGTATCCTCTGATTTTTGTCTGTAGGGATAACGTTTCTATTAACAATATCTTTCAGGACCCTTTCCTCTGTTTTATGAGCTGTGGAAAAGAAGTTCCTGTAAAATAGTCTAATAGGGGGTATAGGTGTTGTGTTAGTTGTCTCTTCAGAGGTTGCATGGCTTTTCACTTTCCTTCTTATGATGTCTTCGATGAAACCATTGGAGAAGCCGTTATTGACTAGAACCTGCCTTACCCTACAGAGTTCTTCGTCGACTTGCTTCCATTCTGAGCTGTGGCTGAGAGCACGGTCGACGTATGCGTTAACAACACTCCTCTTGTACCTATCAGGGCAGTCGCTGTTGGCATTTAGGCACATTCCTATGTTTGTTTCCTTTGTGTAGACTGCAGTGTGGAAACCTCCGCCCTTTTCCATGACTGTTACATCTAGAAAAGGCAGCTTCCCATCCTTTTCCGTCTCGTAGGTGAAACGCAGCACGGAACTCTGCTCAAATGCCTCCTTCAGCTCCTGCAGATGTCTGACATCAGGTACCTGTGTAAAAATGTCGTCAACATACCTGCAGTATATGGCCGGTTTCAAGTTCATGTCGACTAAGACTTTTTGCTCGATGGTACCCATGTAGAAGTTTGCAAACAGGACACCTAGGGGAGAACCCATAGCGACCCCATCTACTTGCTTATACATATGCCCATCCGGGCTCAAGAAGGGTGCCTCTTTAGTACAAGCTTGGAGTAGTTTCCTCAGAATACTTTCTGGCATGTCAAGAGGAGTACAGGCTGGATCACGATACACTCTGTCGGCTATCATTCCGATTGTCTCGTCCACAGGTACGTTGGTAAACAGCGATTCTACGTCCAACGAGGCTCTTATCCCTGTGGCCCGTGCGCCCCGCAGTAAGTCCACAAATTCCTTTGGAGACTTCAGGCTGAAGGCGCAAGGAACATAAGGAGTCAGCAGGCCGTTGAGTCGCTTTGCCAATCTGTACGTGGGTGTGGGTATCTGGCTAATGATTGGCCGAAGTGGGTTTCCAGGCTTGTGCGTCTTGACATTTCCATACGCATATCCAGGTTTATATTCCCCAATGATCTTTGGCAGGTGGAGTCCGGATTTCTTGGCGTTCACAGTTTCGATCAGTTTGTTGACCTTTGCTTTTAATTCGGCTGTAGTGTCCTTCGTTACCCTTTGGAACTTAGTTTGGTCAGAGAGTATGATGTTCATTTTCGCCAGATATTCGTCTTTTTTAAGAATGACATATATTGGCGACTTGTCACCTCGCGGCAGCTAAAAGCCTTCGCGAGAACAAGGAGATAGTTGTCAGGAGAGGTGACAAGTCGCCAATATATGTCATTCTTAAAAAAGACGAATATCTGGCGAAAATGAACATCATACTCTCTGACCAAACTAAGTTCCAAAGGGTAACGAAGGACACTACAGCCGAATTAAAAGCAAAGGTCAACAAACTGATCGAAACTGTGAACGCCAAGAAATCCGGACTCCACCTGCCAAAGATCATTGGGGAATATAAACCTGGATATGCGTATGGAAATGTCAAGACGCACAAGCCTGGAAACCCACTTCGGCCAATCATTAGCCAGATACCCACACCCACGTACAGATTGGCAAAGCGACTCAACGGCCTGCTGACTCCTTATGTTCCTTGCGCCTTCAGCCTGAAGTCTCCAAAGGAATTTGTGGACTTACTGCGGGGCGCACGGGCCACAGGGATAAGAGCCTCGTTGGACGTAGAATCGCTGTTTACCAACGTACCTGTGGACGAGACAATCGGAATGATAGCCGACAGAGTGTATCGTGATCCAGCCTGTACTCCTCTTGACATGCCAGAAAGTATTCTGAGGAAACTACTCCAAGCTTGTACTAAAGAGGCACCCTTCTTGAGCCCGGATGGGCATATGTATAAGCAAGTAGATGGGGTCGCTATGGGTTCTCCCCTAGGTGTCCTGTTTGCAAACTTCTACATGGGTACCATCGAGCAAAAAGTCTTAGTCGACATGAACTTGAAACCGGCCATATACTGCAGGTATGTTGACGACATTTTTACACAGGTACCTGATGTCAGACATCTGCAGGAGCTGAAGGAGGCATTTGAGCAGAGTTCCGTGCTGCGTTTCACCTACGAGACGGAAAAGGATGGGAAGCTGCCTTTTCTAGATGTAACAGTCATGGAAAAGGGCGGAGGTTTCCACACTGC